GGTGATATTATTTGGAGCTGAAAACGTGTCAAATGAATAAAGAATCTATCCATCTTCCCTCCATCGGTCATCTGAGGGTCACGTGACCAAATCCTGGAGCGTCTGTAGGCACGATCACGTTAAACATTCATAAAACCTTCAGATTCTGTGTAGAAATACAGATGTCGCTCATAATAGTTTCTGATGCGCACGAGAAAAAGGCCGGACTGGAACCCGTGACCTTTGCGTGACCTTTCCGTGACGCTGTAACGATCTGTTTAAAAAACAGCTTCTCTTTGATGAAACTTTATTTTTTGCTCGCAGACAAACAAAAAGATATTGATGAAAGTTCAGATATAATAAATTGTTGTTTGATGTGACAGAGGAAAGAAAAACACGAGCTGGTTTCTTCTTCTGCGCCCCCCCACTTATGAAAAGTTCTGTGTCCCTAAAATATCTCATCTCTTGATGTCGTTTTTATACTTCATCTGTATTTGAGCAAATAAACGCACCGACAACTTGATGTGAGTTGTTTAATTGTTGTTTATTAGACAAAAACAAGACGCCGTCTGAGAAGCTTCTGGTGGCTTTTCATGCATCCGGTATTAAAAGGTTAAAGTGTAAAAGTCGCAGGAGGTAAAGTCGGTTTCCTGAAGAAGCACAAACGCCGTTTAGCTTTTTGGACGAGGACACAAATAAAACCATTATTTATCATCAATAATTCTGCTCCTTGTTTGAATAAAGAAATCTGTAACATCCTTCTATGTTTTTATTTTATGTTGTTGGGGTTAAAAGAAAAAATCCACCTGAAAAAACATCTTCCACCAGATCAGAAAAAAAAAGTATTTGAAATATATTTCAAATAACGATTAACGGTATTTTGTTGATTTAAAGGGTCGTTGAGACTGAAGAAGATATTCGGCCTGTTAGCGTTAGCGACACTAAGCTCGTTGCTATAATAATGTTTCAGTATTTATTATATATTGTCAGCTGCATTTTTAAAAGCTAATCCAACTACTTAAAATAAAAGCTCTCTCTCGTGCTTTTACGGTGGATTTTCCCTTTAATGTGTTTGCGTGTTTGGAGGTAAACACTCACAAAGCGAATCCATGTCTCTGAAACCAAACAGCTGCTCACATGGAAACCATCAAAACAACTCAAAAGCAGAAGAAAGAAATGGATCCAGTCCCCACTTCATTTAGATAAAAAACAAAGAGAGAAATACAAAAAGTCAAAACACGGATTGTGGAATTCAATCCAGCGCTGATTTCTTTAATTCATATCAAGTACTTATAAACAGAATGGCACTAATTTCAGTCTATTCACAGATAAAACATCTTTATTATTTTGTATGTTCTCGTTGTTTTGAGACGTCCACTTTAGAAAACGGTCCTTTCTGCAAAAAGTTATTCGTTATTATTGAGAAAACCGTGCGAGGTCTCACCTCTACTTTAAAAACTCTCTTTTTTGAGTAAGAAAAAATGACACAAAATCCCCGTCGTTCTCGCCAAAATAAAAGTCGTCCGTGTGGGCTGGAACTCACTGCGTCGTGTGATTGGTCCCTAAAGTCCTCCAGCAGGAAGAAACCACCTCCTGAGTCCCATCATCATCATCTCACTGCTTCTCAGCCGCGTCGGCACCCGAGCCGTGACTTCCCGTCGCAGCCTCTGGCGGCCATCTTTGGATCCCGATCCGCCGGCTGGGAAACACTGACACGCGTGGTCTCCACGGTAACGATGATGCTGTGGAAGAAGACACAGAGAATGATGAAACGAATCATCATGAAAAGTCATTTTAAGACTTTGACCGAATCACAGGAGTCCAACAGCAGAACACGCTGATCCAGAACCGTCACTAACAGCTCCACACGAGGCGGCGGGGGAGTTGAACGCCATGACGAGCAGGTGAGTTTCAGGAAGCAGAGAATCACCTTAATGCGATTAGAATAATTCATGACGCTTCCCTTTAATGATCAGCAACACCTGCAGCCAATATGGAGCCCGAGATCAAGACCAGGAGCCTTTTTATCCGGGGACCATAGTTACCATAGTTACCAAAGGTCTCCTTCTACGTCAGTGTGTTCAAACTTGTATTTCCCAACGTCCTCATTCTGACTTTGACTTTGGGCCTTGGACAGGAGGACATGTTAACATGACTTAGTGCATTTTGGGCTTTTGGCTTTTTTTTAAACATTTTTGCCCAGGGAGCCATTAGGTGTCAGGTGTCTTGCTCAAGGGCATGTCGACATGGAGCAGCCGGGGCTCGAACCACCAACCTTGCGGTTCCCGGCGCTCCCTCTCTACCCTAATAGGCCGATAGAAGCCAGAGACGAGGAGGACTAACGTGTTATTTCTGATCATTCAATTGTTCGGTTGCTGTGTTTATTTCATGGACCTTAAAAGCCGCGTCAGAAAGAAATCAAATAACTTCTAGTACGTCCAACAGTCAGCAGTCGGCAGGGGACGGTTCAGAGGACATCTTATCGGTCTTCATGTTGACGTTTCCATGACGACACATCAGCAGCTTATATCTGGATTCAGTGAGACAGAAAATCACTCACCTCTCAGCTCATGTTCGCTCCTCTGCCGGGGGCTGTGATTGGCTGACACCTTTACGCTCCTCCTGGATCACCTCCTCCTGGATCACCTCCTCCTGGATCACCTCCTCCTCCTCTTCCTCCCCCTCCTCTTCCTCATTGCAGTTGTCACCAGTGGCTTCTTCTCCTTGTTCTTTCACCTCCATCTCTTCTACGTTGTCTGCACGTTCTTCAGCAGGATCCACCACCACCTCCTCTTCCTCTTCTTCCTCCTCCTCCTCCTCCTCTTCGTCCTCCTCCCCATCCTCCTCTTCGTCGCTGAAAGGCTCCCGGCCCTCCTCCACCCTGCCAGCGGTCTGGGAGAACCAGTCCCTCACCTGCTCGTAGCTCATGCTGGATTTGGTCACCAGGTCGTCCAGGTCTCTCTCGCTGAGGCCGCGGTGCTTCAGGAAATAGTCCTTCAGGAACGACTTCCCGGACTTCACCTGCGGGACGCGGAACAGACGTCAGCTCGAGGACAGTCGACCGACAGGTGACACGGGTGTGTCCGACAGACCCACCTTGATGGCGGTGGCGCCGCCCCCTTGTGGGGAGCGTTTGCAGGGGTACGGCCGCCGCGTCCTCCTGGACCAACCGCGGAACCGCTTCCTGGACTTCTTCGGGGTCTTCAGCCCGGCCGTTCAGCGGCTCGTCCACCTGCAACAAATACACGTCTCTACAGCGCCAGTCGAACATTTAAAAAGTGCACAAAACCAACCAAACAGCCGTGAGTTTACCACACGCGCTCTGTTAGCATTAGCGTTAGCTGCAGGGGTTGCAGTACCTTCCCGCTCTGGTACAGGTAGTACCACTTGAGGTTGCTGTTCTTGCAGGCGTAGCGCGTGTCTCCGAACCAGTTGACGATGTAGATCCTCGGCAGGCCGCTGTCCTCCGCCATCTGGTCGTACTCCTCTGACGTCGGCCACTGCGAGCGCACGAAGGCCTTCTTCAGGATGTGGAGCTGCTCCGGCGTCTTCTTCACCACCTTCCTGCCGGAGGGCGTGCGCGCCGAGGACGAGGCCTCCTCCTCCTCCTCGTCCTCCTCCTCTTCCTCCTTTGAAGGCATCTTCCGCCGCTCGGTGAACCAGGCGTCCACCTCGCGCCGCGTCAGCTTGGTCGCGCCGCGCAGCCGGCTCAGCTCCTCGTCCGGGGGCGTGTCGGATTTCTGGAAGCTGGCCTCCAGGACGAGCAGCTGCTCCGGGGTTTTCTCCTTGAACTTCTGCGGCGTGAAGTCGGGGAAGGCGTGGCGGAACTTGACCCGCGGGTTGCTGGCGGACGGGGCGGCGCCGGACATCGGGGAGCAGTCGCTGGCGTCGTCGCTGGAGTCGATGACGATGGTGGTGGAGGCGGCGCCCGGGGCGTGGTTGTTGTTGTTGTTGTTGTCGCTGTCGTTGAGGCCCCCACTGTTCCTCCCGGCGCCCCCTCGCCCCCCGCCCGGCGCCCGGCCAGGTGTGGCTTCGCCCAGCGGGGCGCCGTGGTGATCCTTGGAGTTCCTCTGGTTGTAGCGCGTGTCGCTGAACCACTTCTTGATGGCCCGCTTGGAGAGCCTGGTGACCTGCATGAGCCGCGAGATCTCCGCCTCCGTGGCGAACTGCCTGCGGCCGTAGCTCGCCTTCAGCTCCGCCAGCTGCTCCTTGGACTTCTTCGGCTTGGCCGCCGCCGCGTCCAGGGCAGCCGCCGCGCCGCCAGACATCTCCGTCTTGGACTCGGTGGCCGCCGGCTCGGCGGCTTTGGGCTGGTTGCCGGGGACGCCCGCGACCGTCAGGGTGATGGGGGAGGGGACCGGCACGGCGCTCCCGCTGCCGGCCACCTGCGTGAGGACGAGGCCCGGCTGGCCCACGATCTGGCAGGTCTGGAAGATGGACTGGAGGCCGTTGGCGGCCGCGGCGATGTTGGCTGGGATGACGGTGATGGTCTGAGGGACGGTCTGCACCGTGCCGTTGAACTTCTTCCTCCTCGCCTCCTCCACCTGAGAGCAGAACTGACTTTGAGCTTTTATACTCAACTTTGGCCCATTAGCTTTAGCATTAGCATCAGCGGACACGTCTGTGATCCGAGTAGGCAACTAACGATTAGTTTGATAATCGATTAATTGGTCGATTAATCGATGAATCAGATTTTTTGTTAAAGCATTAAAAAGCTTTAATTTCCAACCTTTTATTCTAAAACAGAACTGCAAATTCACATTGCAAAAATACTTCAGAAAGTACAGGTTGCTCCTTGAACATAATATTTATAAAAAAATTAAATAAAAAGTCAGAAAATGTAACAGGATTTGTTTTAACATGTTCTCTATTCTACACTCACACTCATCCCCAAGTTCACTCAGCTTATTCATTAAATTATTACCATCATTGTAGTGAAAGTTAAGTAAACGCATACAGCTAAAAAACAACCAAGTGCTATGAGATGAACAGACATTCTGAATTCTGCGTGGCGCCGATACACAAACGTTGTCCATCAAGTGGAGGTGTGAGTTAGAGGTTAGCGAGCACCGACCTCCTCCGGCGTCCAGCTCACTCCGTGTTTCAACCGCTGGGCGGAGAACCAGACTTTGATCTGCTCCTCGCTGAACTTGGTCTGCGAAGACAAACCCATGATCTCCGAGACCGAAGGGTACGGAAACCTGAGACACGCCAGAGGAAATATAAAGGACAATACACCACTGACCGTGTTGGTTCTTCTATTGGGTTGATGTACACATACAGGTGCGTATGTATGTGAGAGCGGGTTACCTGTTGTAGGCGCTGACCAGCAGGACGTTGTTGTCCATGGCCGTGTTGTAGGTGGGGATGCTGCTGATGGGGATGAGAAGCTGCGTCTGACTGCAGTTCTGCTGGTTCTGCAGAGCCGACAGCACCTGGGCCAGCGTCCCAGGGGGCAGCACGGCGCCCCCCCCGCCGCCCGACCCCCCTCTGAACTGCAGCATGTTGGAGCTGTTGACCACGATGCTCTGCGGGACGGCGTGGACCTGCAGCGGCGCGGAGACGGGGATGAGGCGCGGGGGGGCGGCGGCCGGGGCGGGAGACAGCGCGGGTGGCTCCTCCTCCCCCTCCTCGCCGCTCTCCACCTTGATGACGTCGTCGACGGCCATCCTGTGCAGGGCGGCGAACTTCTTGTGCTCCGGACGGCTCCTGATCCTCATGATGGGCGTCTTGCTCAGAGCGATGCTGTTGCGGGACGTCTCCTCCGCCTCCTCCTCCGCCTCCACCTTCACGAAGCCGCCATCGAAGGTGAGGTCGTTGACCGTCTGCTGGAAGACCGTCTCGTTGTGGCGCTTCACCATCGTGCGGGTGAAGTTGTCCTCGCCCGGGTGGAGGCGAGCGTTGTGGGCCAGCAGCGTGTCGTAACTGGGCGGAGGAGAGAAAGGCGCGTCGGTACCAAAGGAGACGGATTAAATATGAGAAGAGTTCTGATCAGAGAGTTTAATCTACTAAACATCATGTCTTCTTCTTTGTTTTCATCAACTAAACCTTTTTCCACCTTTGAGAAAAAGAATAAATAACAATATACATATATATATATATATATATATATATACATATATATATATATATATATATATATATATTATATATATATATATGGTACAAAGCATTGAGGGGCTCTACCTCTTGGTGTGGTAGTCACACTCCATGCAGACGTACGAGGTGTTGGTGACCACGTCCGGGTGCTCCGTGTCTACGTGCACAGTGAAGAGGTTGAGCTCAGACGTTCTGAAGCTGCAGTATTTGCACTCGTAGCCCCCCTCGGCGGCGCCGGGCTCCAGGCAGTGGTCCGGGCGGGCCTCCTCCGGCTCCTCGGCGCCGTCGCCCTCCTCCGGCTCTGCGGCGTCGGCCGCGTCCTCCATCTCCTGGTCCGAGTCCACGGCCGCCCGAGGAGGGACCATGCACGGGGTGGTGGACTTCCTCCGGCTCGCCATCCTCTTGCGGGGGACGCGGGGGACGGGGCGTCTAGCGGAGTGTCAACGCCGTCTCAGTTTGAGTCGGCGTGTTGTGGCTCCATAAATCAGAGGAGGCGGGTCCTCTGTTGTCTTTAACTCCTAAAGACAGTCACAAGTTCTGATTGATGTTGGCAGCGTTGGTGCATTCAGATATAATCGGACAAAATTACACATCTGGAAAATCTGACTGATCGCACGACAATATAAAACAACAGGAATTCTGATTTAAATTTACTTTATTTGAATTTATTTTGTTGGACAGCAGATTTGAAACATTCCTGCTAGAAATGTGTTTTATGCACTTTATGACTATGTGGAGGACAAACTACATCAAAACACATCTTTAGCTTCTCTAAAATGTATTTTTCAACGTCGACCTTGTGATTGCTCTAAATGTTATATTCTGTCAATAAATTCTAAATGAATATTTGTGGAACTTTTCAGGCATATTTTGTTGATCTCAAAAGGGATGAATGTTAAAAATGTCCCATAAATATATACATTACATTACAGGTCATTTAGCTGACGGAGCAATTAGGTGTCCGGTGTCCTGCTCAGGGACACTTCAACATGGGACATGGAGCAGCCGGGGCTCCAACCGCCAACCTTGCAGCTCCCAGTGGTCCCGCTCTACTCCACACGCCACCGTCGACCCCATGAATGAATGATGGGAATGAATATATTGAATATATGCTTTTCATCTTCTTATTTGGGCTTTCAGGGACTTATTTCTATTTTAAGTTGCTAGTCTTTGATTTTATGTTTAACTTGTTTTTAAAAGGTGACGTATAAACACAGTTTATTATTTGTAATAAATCTATTATTCATCTTGTTTGTGCCACTTTGTTCGGTGTGTAATTATTTTTACTCGGACATTAAAATTTCAATATTCAGAACTCTTAAGATTTGCTGTTCAGTTTAATCATTATGAGTTGTGTTGATTGCACTTGATCAAAGGGATTAAATCAGGCAAAATATCAAAATAAGAATCAGAAGCCATTTATTTCGACCTACGTTACACATCAAGGAATTTGACTTGGTGCGATATAAGAACAGAATATAATAGAATTAAATAAGATTTAAAGAATACATAATAATCAGACGGACGGAAGCGCGCACACACACACACACACACACACACACACACACACACACACACACACACACACACACACACACACACACACACACACACACACACACACACACACACACACACACGTCTGCTCAGCTCGCTCAAATAAATCGAGAAGAAACGTCAACAGCAGCAGCAGCAGCATCCTATGCTAACGTTAGCTTAGCTGCCTAGCTAGCTAGCTAGCTGCGTTTTACCGAGGACCTCCACAAGTGGCCGCGGACGTGAGGCGGCGAGAGACCCGGGAAGACGGAGTGCGTTCGGCCGGTGTTTACCTGGTGAATCGGCCTCCTTCGCGGGGGGAGGTAGTCGGGGTGAATCGCTGTAGCTCCGTCGCGCCTCTGGCTCGCTGTGTTGATGCGCAGTCTTCCGCCTTTCAGCCCAAATACACCGAGGAGCCCATCTGCTTCAGCCGCGGACGCAGAGCCCCTCCGACGGCGGTTGGACGAGCTAAGCTAGCGCCTGTTAGCTGCGGTTGTCCGCCGGCAGCGGCACGACTCGCATAGTTCGCTCGGTTGCTTTTGTTAATAAAAAGGACAGTTTAATAAAAACGCCACCGATAGTTCACCGAATTCGACGGTGGCCATTTTTTTCATACCGCCGCTCCAAGCGAGCAACAGCCGACAAGCACATCCGGTTCGGTTTATTTTACAAAATAAGAGCTTCAGCTAAAGTTGAACTGAATTAAGAGGTTGGTGCCAGAACGTAAAAGTAGAAACACTACTAGTACAAATACTATTCCTGCATCTAAAATCTGAAATTGCTTGTATCATGGTTGTTGATTCAGTTATATAGTATAGTATACTACTGTACTGAACTGTGCAGATGATTTCAAAACAAAATTGATAAACATTGAATTTGAATTGATGTTGTGATGTGTGATTTGCTCTCAAACAAAAATAAACTATTAAATATTTGTATTTTTGATTTCGAATAACCATAGATACTTTTAATCAAAACGTTTAAATAATGTATAACATTGATAGAAAATTATGAATATTAATCATTCTTTTTCCTAAACGTATATGTCTTTATATTCTGCCTACTAACTACTTGTTTATTAGATGTAATTGTCCTAATACATTTATATCTATTCATTTTTGTATTGTTTTATTTACTTTATGGATTTATTTTGAAGGTATCCTCGTCAAACGGAAGTGAATGATAGTATTCTAACTTTGACCTCCTTTATATACTGGATGTATATTACATTACTGTATATTACATTACATGTCAAAACAAGAAAGTGCAATTTCATCAAATAAGCCGATGTGCAACTTGCTGTAGATAAGAACCATTATAAGTCCAATGTAAGTGCTACAGTTAGTGTGTTAGTGGAGGTAGAGTCTGAAGAGGTGTGTCTTTAGTCTGAAGATCTGAAGGCTCTCTGTGGTCCTGATGTCTTCAGAGACCTCCTTCCACCATTTAGGAGCAGGACAGCAAAGAGTGGAGATCTAGTCGAGTGTTTTGCTCTCAGTGAGGAGGAACAAGCAGTTTATCACATGCAGAGCGGAGAGGTCAGAGGTCAGAGGTCGGGTTGGACCAGGTCCTGGATGGAAGCTGGACCCCATCCATTCACAGCATGGTACCTGAGCACCATGTTTAGAACTGGATTAGATGTAGATTGTATAATTTATATGTTTTATACTATTGAGGCTTATAAAAGTTATGTGGCACAAATGAGAAAAATAATTACAAAAATATCCCTCTCTAATGAAGTAAAGAACAAGTATGAATACAAATTGAATCAAACTCATTATTTTAAAGTAAATTACAAGACCTCAAAACTATACTTATGTGCTTCAGACACGATTATTTAATGTCAGAACTAAGAATGTTTAGAATTAGTATTCTGTTCCCAGATCAGTTACAAACAACCTAGATTGAAAAAAATAACTCGATAAATAAGAATGATATAATATAACATGCAAGAAGAAAGAAAATATCCTTTAATAATCCCCATAGGTAAATTATTCTATTAGAGAAATTCTAACATAATAAATATTGAGGTGAATCAATAAATGAGGAGTAGACTTCTTGTTTGATGAGGATTTATTTAAACAGAACTGGAGCCGGAGATGAAACAAAGCTGGCGATTTCTTCCTTCATTTCCTGAAGATAAAATAAAAGGTAAAACTAAAGCTGTAAATCTACTTCTACTATCTAATAGAAATAGAAGAAGGTAGAACAGACATTGAAGCGTTTTCTGTGGTGACTTGATGGAGAACAATGACATTTGCTACGGTGGAATTGACTAATTGCTATCACGCTATCGTTCCGGTGCTAACCGTAAACTCTGACCATGCTGCTACGCTACGAAGGCGCTCGGTAAAAATGGAGGCCAGGCGTGTTCCGTACCTGAAGGAGCTCCTTCTTGTTGCGGTCGTTGCGGTGTCGGTAGATGCACTGAGCCAGGAGAGCGTGAAGCTTCTCCAGCGGCTCCACCTCGAAGCCCTCCGTTCCATCCACGGCCCGCTTGAGGACGTCCTGAAATACGCAACGACCAAAACGCCCAAACATCTGGAAAAACCGCAGAGCCAATCAGAGCCCAGCAGGAAGCGGCCAGCCGGGTCCACTCACCCTCAGTTTGTGTTGATCCAGCAGCAGTGGGGGGGCGGCCCGGTCGAGCCTCTTCCTGCTGGGCGGCTGCTTCCTCTCCGCGGCGGCCATGTTGGCGGCGGCCATGTTGGCACTGGTCTCTCTCTCTGCTTGAGGAGGAAGACGAGTAGAAGGAGGAAGAGGCAGATGAATCGCGTCTTGCGGTTTGTTTGCGGGACGTCGGGTCGCCTGTAAGATGACCTCAGTTGCCCCGTTAATGTTTAAATAAAAAACGTGCCGCTTCACAATGAGCCACCTGACGTCTGCGAGTGTGAATTTAGAAACAAACATCGATCAAAGCGATCGGTTTGGTGAAAGATCTCAAATGAAATGATTCCTTTGTTGTGATCTTGTTCAACCTTCATGTATGTATTTAGTAACTGTGGATCCAGGATGATGCTCTCATGCAGGTTATGATTCGCCCCTCAAACACTTACGTGGAGCTTCGCTCCCTCTTCTGCTGTCCTCCTCGGGTTTGGTCCAGCAGGAGGAGGCTGAAATGAATAAAGTGTCGTCTTGCAGAAGAACGTTCTGTGTTTCTACATTCCAAAGATCTCCTCCAGGTGTTTCATGACCTCACCTCTCTGCGTCCGAGAGGCTCGGATCTCCTCGCAGGCTCTCTGGAAGCCTTCGTTCAGCTCGGCTCTGATGATGGAGCGCAGCGCGTCCCTCAGGGCGCACGCCCGGTGACGGATGTGACGGTCTGACACACACACACACAAACACTTTAAAATGAATACAATTCTGAGAATAAAAACATTCCTTCTGGTCCCTCGGGGGCCTCCGTGGGGGCGGGGCCTCACCCATGGGGTCGCTGTCCGGGTTGTACTCCAAGGCGTTCTTCCAGATGAGGTCGGCGTCGCACACAAACTCGTCCACCGTGACGTACTTCTGCTCGTCGATGTTGGTCAGCAAGGTGGAGAGGTCCATCGGCGCCTTCACCACCAGAGTGTAGTCCGGCACCTGGAGCGAGACGCAAAAGAGGAGGAGGAGGGGCGTGAGGAGGAAGAGCATGAGGAGGAGGAGGCGGCCTGAAGTCCACCCACCTCCTCTGTGTCCACCGGCTTGGCGAAGGCCTTGAAGCGGCGGTCCTGAGCCAAACTCTCCGTGACATAGCGCAGGAAGAGGCGGAGGTCCCGCAGCACGTCCTCCTCTTGCTCCTCCAGGCGGAGGCGCTCCCGCTCCGGCAGCTGGCGGGGGCGGGGCATGGGAGCCAGGGGAAGCACCTCCACGGCCTCGGCCACTGCGGGAGGAGGAAAGGAGGTGAGGTCAGAAACACCGTCTGACTTATTTACACTTCTTAACCGTTCGCGGTTGAAGCGTCTCGCACCGGCTGGTTTGGAAGGCGGAGCCTCGGCCGCCTGGTTCAGGAGGAGGTCCTGGAAGAAGTCGCTCCTCTCCTGCCGGGTGGGAACGCTGACGATGTGAACCTCCCCGTACTCCTCCCGAAACAGAGCCTGAATCTGAGGAGAGAAACAGTCAGAACTCATGGAGGCTCAAAGAGAAACATCTGTGTCCCTTACTGCTCCACCTCTGGGTCCAGCTCCTGGTAGTTGTCACTGCAGGTGGCGAGGAGGAGGATGGGGGAGAGGGAGGGGACGGCGGCCAGCAGGCTGAGGAAGGACGCCCTCAGCGAGGACCCCGCGGCCTCCCACCACTGCTGCATGTGGGGCAGGTAGAGGATGCTGGGAGCCGTCCGCCGGGCCTCACAGAACACCTGAGGGAGATGAGGAGACGAGGGGTTTGAGGACTCCAGGAGCCACCAGGGGTCACTAAAGGAGGGCGGAGCTTCAGCATCCACATTTCAGTTTGTTTCCTGGTCATATAACAAATAACTGGTGACAAATAACGCTGCAAAATGCATTCTTCATACATCATCTTCTCTTCACAGAACAGTCTGTGTGACGTGCTCATCGAATGGAGATGATCATTATCATGACACCAAGTGTCACTCGTCAGCTCACACCTTCGGGCCGAGGCCTCACCTGGGCGCAGGCTTCCTCCGGGCTCGTCCCGCTGACCCCAAACAGCACCGCCGAGTCCAGGTTGTGGACGGGGAAGCGCTCCAGGGCGTGCAGCAAGGCCGGAGCCAGGTGGGAGGTCTGACCCGAAGCAGGAGGACCGCCAAGGAGCATCCTGGGACGGTGGGACGTCGGGTGTTTGGCTGCACTCCTGCAGGCAGGAGGGAGGAAGGGGAGGCAAAGTCACCGAGGTTTGTAGATTTTTAGGTTTTGTTGTTTGCAAGAACAAATGTGACGGAACAAATCAGGAGAGAAACATTTTTTTTATGAAATTAAACAGATTAAACAGATTTTATTGTGAATATATGAATAAACAAAATAAGTTAAGCAGAAGAAGAAACATATGGGGATAAATATGGAATAACAGAGAATGCATATGCAACATTTGGGCCTCATTTACAAACTCTTTTTTTGTCTTGTCTTGATTTTGGGAGCAGCTGTTGCTTAAACAACGTCTGTGGTTTGTTGACCTTTAGCTGTGTTTCTGAACTAAAGGCTGATGTGGTGTGGACTCACCTGGAGAAGTGCAGGAAGGGGCGGCTTTTGGAGGTGAAGGCTTTGGAGAAGGCGCCCGCGTCGTCTCCCTCCGTCAGCCCGTCGTCAAGGAAACCCGGGGTCCCGTCTGAGGAGCGAGAGAAACCCCGCCGCTCAGTAGACGTGACGTTGGAAGAGAAGCGCCTGCGGCCTGCGGCTGGGACTCACCCGGCTCCCTCCTCCTCTTCACGCCCTGCTCCGCGTGAGGGAACAGCTTCTGCAGCTCCTTCAGGGCGCGGCGCAGGGCTCCGCCCAGCAGGGGGCGCACCACGGCCGACAGCGCAGAGGCGGGCGAGGCAGCGCAGCGGCGGGAGGCCGGCAGCGTCTTCGCCATGGCCGCCAGGAAGTCGCGTCCCCCGACAGCGATGGAGGAGACGTCCAACAGGAGCTTGTGGGACGTCCCGTAGATCTGCGGGTAGCGGCGGCGCAGAGCGCACAGCGCCGCCTCTGTGCACACGCCCCTGATGTCGGCGCCGCAGTAGCCTGGGAGACAGGAAGTCAGTTTGACACACAATGCAGACACACATGTGGGGCCCGCAGGTCAAGGGTCAATGTCAGATTTAAACAATGACAGAAGTCTACTGACAGCACACAGCCGCTGTGTTTCTATATGTTCTACGTTCTATATGTCCTATAGGTTTCATACGTTCCATATGTTCTATATGTTATACGTTCCATGCGTTCTATACGTTCCATATGTTCCATATGTTATACGTTCCATGCGTTCTATACGTTCCATATGTTCTATATGTTATACGTTCCATGCGTTCCATACGTTCCATATGTTCCATACGTTCCATGCGTTCTATACGTTCCATGCGTTCTATGTTATACGTTCCATGCGTTCTATACGTTCCATATGCTCCATGCGTTCTATATGTTATACGTTCCATGCGCTCTATACGTTCCATATGTTCCATACGTTCTATATGTTATACGTTCCATGCGTTCTATACGTTCTGTACGTCCTTCTTTTCGTGTGCATCATTCGTGTAAACACTCCGTCACACGCTGGTGGGAGTCAAGTCCGTCCCACCGACACATCTCTCGGCCAGTTGTTCCAGGAAGTCGTCCGACGGGCCGGGCCTCCACTGCCTCGTGTGGATCTTCAGGATCTCTTTACGGGACTGAAAGAAAACCAACAGCTGGGTCACAGAGTCACAGAGAGAGCTTTGGAACAATGTAGCAGAATAAGAGTCCAGAGGATTTCGAGGGTCTTAATGACAGAAGGAGTCAGATGATCCGAAGGATCTGTGAGAGAACATCAGCTCAAGGACGTCATTCATCCAGAAGCACGCGGGCACTAGGGAGGGTTCTGAGTGTGTGATGTCACACCTCCCGGTCGGGCAGGCCGAACAGGAACTCCCTGTCGAAGCGCCCGGGCCGTCGCAGCGCCGGGTCGATGGCGTCCAGGCGGTTGGTCGCGCCGATCACGACGACCTCGCCCCGACTGTCCAACCCGTCCATCAGAGCCAGAAGCGTGGACACGATGGAGCTGAGGGACCAAAGAAAAATGGACAGCTGGTTCAGCGGATCGACGTCATCTGTAACCATGGCGATGACTTTGTGTTGCACCCACAGGTTGGGTCACTTTGCTAAATCCAACCACGCGACGAGGCGCACTAGAATGCTGCCGAGCGCCAAAGATGAGACGATAATGACATGAAAACAAGCGCTCTGCTCCGACCTGTGAATCTGGTCCTGTCTGCTGGACCGGACCGGAGCCAGCCCGTCCATCTCGTCGAAGAAGATGATGGAGGGACGCATCTGAAGGGCCTGAGGACGAGTAGGACACGTGGTCAAACTAAGCAGGGGGGGGTCCTCGGCAGGTGGGGGTGGGACGTGGAGTTACCTGCTCAAACAGCAGCTGCAGCTGCCGCTCCGACTCGCCCACCCACTTGCAGAGGCAGTCGGCGCCCTTCCTTATGAAGAAGGACACCTTCCTGTTGCCGTGGCTACACTCGCTGGCCAGCGCCCGGGCCACCAGCATCTTCCCCGTCCCGGGGGGCCCGTAAAACAGGCAACCTCTGGAGGGAGGGGCAATTAAAAATGACTGAACGCCCGACACCACGTGTGTGTGTGTGTGTGTGTGTCTGTGTGTGTGTGTGTGTGTGTGTGTGTCTGTGTGTCTGTGTGTGTGTGTGTGTGTGTGTGTGTGTGCGTGCGCCACCTGGGAGGCTGGATCTTGAAGTTGTCAAAGACTTCTGGGTAAAGCAGCGGGAACACAACCATCTCTTTCAGGGCCAAGATGTGACCTGCCAGACCCCCGATGCTGTCAAAGCCCACCTGAGGAGAGAGGGAAGGAGAGAGGGAAGGAGAAGGTGAAGGAAAGGGTGAAGGAGAGAGGGAAGGAGAGAAGGAAGGAGAGGG